TATTACATACATATATATATATATATATATATAATATATATATATATATATATATACTGTGAGGGCGCTATGGTGAGCGGTTGGTTTAAATATTTTTGTCCAAAGAACTTGATTTTTTATGTCTGCTTTTATTAGTTTTGGATAATATTTCTGCAATTGACACAGCAATCGGTGTTTACGACCATTTGGTGAACCAACTTGCTGCATTGAATTGTATGATTGAGTAAGTGATATCATTTACAGGCCATTTCGTCTGGCTAGGCCTAATCTTGACTGTTACTGTGATTAGTGTTAATGATCGTTACCGGCGAACGGTGTATTGCTTACTGGCAGTATGGCTGTTGCCAAGTCTCCGACGCAGGTCAATGCTCTGTCCAGTGACATTGTTATCGTTGACGAATTTTTGTGTTTTGTAATGAATCATATTGGGTCTATGCCATATGACAAGTTATACCAGATATGTATGCAACATTTTACTTCAGATATTATTAAACGATCCTAGGATACATTAGCTGAATATGTGACGGATGTGGATAGTATTTTGCTGAAACGGCGTCAGAGAGCGGAAAATCCTATGAGTGACATCCTAAAATTTCTTGTTAATGTGGATGGTGACAGTATTCCAACTTTCGCTGCTGTGGATTTGTCAAAGATTCCGAACGTACCACTTGGTACTGTTGACGCTGCCTCTTTATTTCGTGACGTTAAGAAGATCAAATTTTAAATGCAACATATAAGAATCGATATTGAGCATGGTGTCGCTGAAAGGCAATGTATCAACAAAAAGCTGAACGAAATGCGTGATGATGTTCACTTAGTGAAGTCGGCCGAAAGGAGTAGGGATATGGGTAAAGCGAACATTTCTTCTGTAAATCTAAATCTAAATCATTTTTTGAAGCTGTTTTGACGCATGCACCCCAACGTCCAGCCAAGATCCAGAGATCGCAATCCAAAGTCATCCCCTCCAGTAAACCTAACCGTTTGAGTAGCGATGAGGTGCAACAACCTGTTGATAGTGATAGATACAGTGTTCCGCGGTACAACCGTAAAAAGTCTCAAAGGGGGACAAAGATTGAGCACAAGCTCAAAAGTAGACCCCCTCCACCTTTCCATATGTATCTCGGCAATATGTCTGTAGATAATACAGTGAAAGATGTGAATGACTTTCTGGCAGAGATAAAAATCAACGCTAAAGTGAGTAAGTTGCCTACTAAACGTGATGATTATGTCTCATTTGTATTGAGTTGTGAAGTTAAGCAAAAAGAATATGTTCTTGACCCTTCTATTTGGCATGAAAATGCTATTATTCGTAAATATTATAACAAAAGTATGGGTTACAATGATAATTGATATGACTCTAAGTTTAATGATATTGATATTTGATCATGGTTGTACGATTACAAGAGAGCTGTGAAGTGCGAGTTGTCTCGTACAATTGTAAGGGTTTTAAGTCGAATAAAAAGGATGTACTTGAATTATGTGAAACGTACGATATTATCTGTTTGCAAGAAACATGGCTATGCAATGATGAGTTACCCTTATTAAAATCACTACATAGTGATTTTGACAGCTTTGCTGTGTCCTCTATAGATACTTCCTTCTCGTTATTGGTTGGACGCCCTCATGGAGGTGTGGCTATCTTGTTTAGGAAGAGTATGTATGATGCTGTTAAGTATGTTGATTTAAAGGACAGCAGACTTGTAGCTATTGAGCTTGGCTGTGATAGAAATAAAACCCTGTTAGTTAATGTGTATTTGCCTTATGACTGTGGTGATAATTTTGCTGTTTATGCATTATCTCGGTAAATTTTAAAATATTGTATGATAATAGTAAGATAGTTTTTTGTAGGTGATTTTAATGCTGATATCAGAAAAAAGTTTGGATTTGAATTAATTAATTTTTGTAATGAATTTAAGTTACTTTTATCAGATTGCGAACAATTGGGATTTACTTCTGATACTTTCACTTTTTATAGTGATGTGCACAACACGACAAGCTGGTTGGATCACGTTGTCTCTACGCAAAGCTCCCATGCTTGTCTAAGTAATTTCAAAGTACTTTATGATATTATAGGCTCAGATCACTTTCCTTTGACTTTTTGTATTAATGATGTTTCGTGCAATAGTTGTTTACCTTCGAATCCTAGTGATTCTAACAATATGTATGTATCTACTATTAATTGGAAGGTTGTGAGTAATAAGGATATCAGTATGTATACCTATATTACAGATGAATCACTAAGCCGACTATCAGTTAACCCTGAAGCGTTTAGATGTAATCAACAAAATTGTAATGATCCGTCTCATGTTAGTGATATTACTAACTTGTATGATTCTATAGTGAACTGTCTTGTTAAATCTTCTGACAATTGTTTCTCTGTGCATTCATGTAAAGATCGTAATTACAATCCAGTCCCTGGATGGAATGACCGAGTGTCTGATATTCATGCTGTTGCGAGAGAGGCCTTTCTTATTTGGCGAGCTAATGGTAAGCCTAGGATTGGTCCTCTTTTTGAAGCAATGAAAACATCTCGCTCTAGGTTTAAATTAGCTTTTAGACAATGCAAGAAAGACAGTGAGCAGATTAAAGCTGACGCCATGGCTAATGCCTTGCATGGCAAAGAATTAAATCAGTTTTGGGATTCGGTTAAAAAAGCTCGTAAGAACAGTAATATAAAATGTGACACAATTGATGGTGCTAAGGGAAAAAGCAATAATTGTAAAATGTGGCGTAAACACTATTGTAACCTATTTAATTGTGTGGACAACGTTTTCCATCAAGATACGGTGAATAGTGTGCTAGATACACATTGTAATGATGAATGTATTGTTACACCTATTATGGTTAATAAACGTATTGACAAACTCCCACTTGGCAAAGCTTCAGGTTTAGACGGTCTTACGGCTGAACATTTTAAATATGCTTCATACAAAGTGTTAAGTTTAGAAATAATTAATTGTTTATTGAGCGCCCTCTATAGTTTGAAAAGTGGAAAACTTGCTGGGTAGGCCTTGCAACGACGTAGGATTCACGCTAGCAACGTATACGTTAGTGTTGAGGCATAAAGGCCAGAATTATTGATGTTTGAAATATTTACAAGGTTTCTGTAATACGACAGATAAAGAATTGGATTTATGATTCAATGAAAATTTATGTACAGTATAATGATGCGGAGAGATCACAATTTACGCAACGCCCACATTGTTCAAGAGAAGGAATTGAATAAAGTTCTCGTGTTTGAATACTCCGTCGTCTGTACATATAATTGCGTAAATTGCATCCAGGACGTCAACAGTTGGGCGAATTGTATTAAGGAAGCAACCAAATCATGTCTAGTCGTTCAGTTAGCACTAAGTCATCGACTGCATCAGCACTTCGACTATCTGCAGCACAAGCTAGAGCAGATCTTGCTATAGCCAAGGTAAAGGAAAGGAATGCTGCAAAGAAAAGGGAGCTAGCTTCTGAACTTGAAAGCCTCAAGGATAAGGAAGAGGTTGAAATCAGTGAAGTTCGACTAGAGGTTCTGGAAAGGGAAATCCAGCAAATCAAGGAAGAGGAGGCAGCCAATATAATTGACTTGCCAGATGAGAATCAAGCTGAATTAATGAACAGGTTCATGCAATTTTAAATGGACGAGATGCCACTGCTGCAAGGAGAAGAGGAAACCCCTCATACAGCAGAGGAAAGGCAGGTAGACTTCATACAACCTAGTGTAACAATTCAACTAGGAAGTCCAACACAAGGTGAGTCAAGAGGACTGGCAGCAGACCAACTCAGTCATCAAGTCAGGAATGATGCTGCAGACCTATCACTACTAAGTACATTTCCAGTCACAAGTCAGCCGACACCGCAACCAAATACATTGCCAGTTATAGGTCAGCCGATACCACAAGGCACGTCTAAGGAACATCAAGATGTAATCGAGCTGATAAAAAGGCAGGACGACATCATATATTTTACCGAAGAGAACGATCAGGCCATTCGGTGGTGAGCCAACAGAGTATGCTAGGTTTAAAAAGGAATTTGAAATTGAGCAGAAACTTAGCAAGGACAGAGATCGTCTTTATTATATCGAACATTTCACTGTAGGTGAAGTGAACAAGCTGGTGAAGAGTTACCTCCACTTAGACCCTTCCAGAGGCTTTAAAGAGGCTAAGGAGGCTATTGAAGGTAGATATTGAAATCCCTTCAAGTTAAGTGAGGCTTATTTGAACAAGGCTAGGAATATACCCAATATAAAGGCAAAAGACAGCTCCGCTTTGACAAATTTCGCTCTGTTTCTACTTGAGTGTAAAAACGTGATGGAGGAGTTAAATGATGTCAAAGAGTTAAATCACACAAATGGCATACAAATGCTAGTAGGGAAACTTCCGTACAAGCTACGTGAAAGGTGGCGGATTATAACTGATCATATTCAGGAGGAGCAGAAACGAAGGGTCCAATTTGCTGACTTGGTCAGTTTCGTTGACAAACAAGCACGCATTCTCAAGAACCCCACATATGGTGACATCAAAGACGACAAGCCACTAATGTCAAATTCAAGACCTACATCTTCAAGGAATAAAGGTTCATATGCCGTAGTAGTGGGGACAATATCCTGTCCACATTGCCAGAACAACCATAATCCCAGTTGATAAGAGTGCCAAGGCCGGTGAATTCTCAGCATCATGCATTGAAGATGGAGAGGCACCATGTATGTTAGCCATGATTCCGGTGCAGGTGAGAGCGATGAATGGCTCAAAGACAGTCACAACATACGCATTCCTGGATCCCGGCAGCACAATATCAGTCTGTACTCAAGGCCTCATAGAGAGCCTAGGAATCAGGGGAAAACCAACCAGGATACCCACTGGAACTCTCGCAGCCAAGCATGATCTGCAGACGCAGATAATAAAGAAGCGATGTTCCATCAAGTGCTTGTTCCCGAAAAAGACAGGAATTTCCTAAGGTTTCTGTGGTTTCCAGAAGGAGATCTTCAAGCTAAACCTGTGGAGTATAGGATGCGAGTACACTTGTTTGGTGCTGTATCCTCTCCCGCATGTGCCAATTCAGCACTATTGCAGGCCGCCGAAGATGGTAAAGATGTCAGCAACCACAAGGCAGTAGAAACTCTTAAGAGGAATTTTGATGTTGACGACTTATTGAAAAGCGTTAGGTGCTCTGATGAAGGTATTCAACTAGTGACAGATTTGGTGAATGTATGTGCTAAAGGCGGTTTTAATTTAACCAAGTGGTCAAGTAATGATAAACAAGTCATCGACACGATTCCACGAGAGAAGAGATCGAAGGATCTCCAAGATTTGAACTTGAAGGAAGATGGGTTGCCACCTCAAAGATCATTGAGTGTCAAATGGAGTCCTCAGGATGACTTCTTGTGTTTTAGCCCACCAACTCGAGAGCAGCTCTGGACTAAAAGAGGTTTGCTGTCGACTCTAAGTTCGATGTTTGATAGGTTTGGTTGCGCCAGTTATCAAGAGTGGTGCTGCAGGAGACAATCAAGGGTCACAGCGGATGGGATGACATTGTTCCAGAGAATTTGCTGAAACGATGGAGGCAATGGTGGAATGACTTGCCCTTGATTAAAGAGCTCAAGATACCCAGATGGTTAGGCATGAGTCCTAACCACAATAGTCAATTACATGTGTTTGCTGATGCAAGCGAGAGAGGCTAAATAAAGAATGAAATGAAATGAAACATATATTAAAATCACAGGACTGTGGCCATCCCATGGTAAATCGCGAAAAAAGAAATCCATTCCGCTTCCATTAAATACGACTGTCGCCTTACATTTTATGTAATTAATATCTGATCTATTATATTACGTACCTAGGGCTCTGTGGTTGGCCTAGGATAGCCAAGTTTAGAGTACGAAAAGCTAAAAAAAATCATATATAAAGGAAGTTAATCCTCCTAGAGCAATGCTGAAAGCTACCGTCTCAATAGAAAAAAATATCCATGTGGGACCTTGCTATCATGTATCTATCATATATCCAACTTTCTCGTCATCAGCCACACCACAGTGCGGCCTCACGAAATGTGCTGTACATACACTCATCGCTACTGACTGATATGAATGTGTGGTTTAAATTACACATAAAAGCAACTTAGCCGACATATATTTCCTGTAGTATCTGATCCAGAGGTGACGGAACTAGGGGGTGCTGTGTTATGGAGAGTAATGTGTGACTGGAAAGGGTCTGCAGTCAGTTGGTTGTTACCATGCGCCAGTGATGTTGGAGTATATAGTACAGCAATATGAAACTATTAGGCCTAATGAATGAATAAAGTTCAGAGTTTGTCGGGTAGTGAAATGATTATTTCACATTTTAAGTGCTCCCTAAATTCATAAGTGTAAGCTAAATCACGGTGATTAATTCAATTAGCGAAGATATGGAGACAAATTTCGAATCCCTCTTTCCAAGAGGGGATGCAAATGCTTTGTGAAAATGAGTACACCGCGGTACTCAGTTTCACAAAGAAATACACACAACTGGTTCCTAACAGTTATGTCAATGTTACCTGAACACCGGGGAAGGAAGGTGCAATTACGTTGTTACCTAGCAAACGTCTGTACTGTATGGAGGAGGGGCTGCTGATGTACTGTGTAGCGGGGGAACGATGAGGCATAAGACTAGGCCTAGGCCCATTTACTAAGACAGTGGAATTATATGTGATAGAGAGTACACTTTCGGAAGAAATAAATTAAAATAAGAAAAAAAAAAAACTAAGAATAATTCATTTGCAGAGGTACCTTGTTTAAGTACTATACAATGCTAACAATGCGGCTCTTGTAGCCCTGGCTTGGGCAAGGCATCCATGTGCAAAGCAGTGGTGTTTGTTTATCCATGAAAAAAGCACGCCACCGGGAAAGTTTGCCTTACCAGGAAAAGGTGACGTATCTAGCTTATGACGTATCATGCTAACTAACGTGAGTGTGACGTCACCAAAAAATGAATATTTTCTATTATAACAAAAATATTAATAACTACAAAGTTTATGGGCATAAATTCCCTTACTACGAATGAAGGGTTGCACAATTTCCTTGCCATACAAATTACAGCTCCCACTGACGTCTCAGTCGGAAATACGGGTAGCTGAAGTTTTTCTCGCAAATCTGACTACAAAACATTTTCCAAATTTCACGTTCCACTTTTGACCCTGAGTTGTGCTTCGCATCGCCGCTGAGGGCGGCGTTCCGGAAACCCTGCGTCTAGACAAGGACCTAGGCCACACACACATACGTACTCATCCAGCTTATGGTTCGTCTTCGTCAGGCCAGCCTGCATTCAGATACATTGACACGAAATGCGCTGTACATACACTTATCGATATAAACTGATTTGAATATGTGGTTTAATACACATAAAAGCAACTTGTAGCCTACATTTCCTGTAATATCTGATCTATTCCACACACGTACTACTCAGCCAGCCTATAGTTCGTCTTCGTCTAGGCCAGCCTGCATTACAGTACTGTACATTGTTTTTCTCTCAGAGGAGAGACCACCCACCCTTGCAAGCACCACAGAACGGCTGTACATTCTTTGATACCAACTAGACTCGTGCAGACGCATTTATTAGCCGCAAAGCTTACTATTCTAGGCCGTAATTGGTTGATAAACATAATGTGGAATATACAGCCGATTTGCAATTTGATCAATGACGAACATGCTTTCATAGGAAACCCACCACAGTGTTAACAGATATGATATAAAAACATACTATTTCACTTAATCCCGACAACAATTTCGCAAAAAAAAATTGATACTTTGAATTCCCAAACCTTCTCTTCTATATTATTGCAAGATCGGCCTAATCGCGTCACAAACGAAAGAAGAGATAGAAAAACAAATGACTTCAAAATTCGCTCACAATCATCACCCTCTCTCTCTCCCCCTCTCTCTCTCTCTCTCTCTCTCTCTCTCAGAGAGTGGGCTAAAAATGACGGACTATACCCTCAGACAGATTGCAAAAAGAAGCAACTTGTGCATACTGTTCTGTAGATTTCTTTGAACCTTTTAAGTCAAAGAAATTATTATTATTTTATCGTAAATTCAATCAGTGTATTTATGACATTATTGCATTGAAAAAAAAATCTTAATTTGATATTAATGTTTGGCCTATTATCAGTGATTATAAAAAAAATTCACAAAACGTATTTCAATAGCCCTTTTTCACTAGCATTTCAAACAAATTCTGGTCGACATACCGCATTATTTAAAGTACTTTACCTTGAGGTTTACTGGTAGACATCGTGCTTCTTAATATAACCCACTTCCTCTAAATGAATCACTGAGGGATTTTCCAATATCGACCCCTTTAATAAAATTAAAAAAAATAAAATTGGTATTAGTTTTTAGTCGAGGTTTTCGATTATACGTTTCAAAGATTGACCATTAGTTTATGTTAAACGCCAATCAATTTATCCACTCAATCTTTACCAATAATGATTACAAATATTGTTTTTAAATTATATATAAAATTATAAAAGAGATA